CAAAATGACTCAAAATGACCCAAAATGACCCAAAATGACTCAAAATGATCCCAAAATGACCCAAAATGACCCCAAAATGACCCAAAATGGCCCAAAATTACCCCAAAATGACCCAAAATGTCCCAAAATTACCCAAAATCACTCCAAAATCCCTGAAATCACCCCAAAATCACCCAAAATCACCCGAATTTTCCCGAATTTTCCCGAATTCCCAGTTTTTTGCAGGATTTCGGACCGGGGAGGGGGAATTCCCCACGATCTGCTGGACAAAGTGACCCCAAAACACCCCAAAACCCCCCAAAACCACCCCAAAATCCCTGAAATCACCCCAAAATCACCCGAATTTTCCGGAATTTTCTGGAATTTTCCGGAATTTTCCCGGAATTCCGGGTTTTTTGCAGGATTTCGGACCGGGGAGGGGGAATTCCCCACGATCTGCTGGACAAGGTGACCGAGTGCCAGCAGTGACCCCAAATCACCCCAAAACCACCCCAAAATCACCCGAATTTTCCGGAATTTTCCGGAATTTTCCCGGAATTCCGGGTTTTTGGCAGGATTTCGGACCGGGGAGGGGGAATTCCCCACGATCTGCTGGACAAGGTGACCGAGTACCAGCAGTGACCCCAAACACCCCAAAATCACCCCAAAATCACCCAAAATCCCTGAAATCACCCCAAAACCACCCCAAAACCCCCCAAAACCACCCCAAAATCACCTGAATTTTCCGGAATTTTCCGGAATTTTCTGGAATTCCGGTTTTTTGGCAGGATTTCGGACCGGGGAGGGGGAATTCCCCACGATCTGCTGGACAAAGTGACCGAGTGCCAGCAGTGACCCCAAAACCACCCCAAAACGACCCAAAATCCCCGAAATCACCCCAAAATCACCCGAATTTTCCGGAATTTTCCGGAATTTTCCGGAATTCCGGGTTTTTGGCAGGATTTCGGACCGGGGAGGGGGAATTCCCCACGATCTGCTGGACAAGGTGACCGAGTACCATTTCAGCACGGCCGAGGCGAGCGCGCAGGACCCGCGCCTGGGGGGGCCCTTCCGGGGCCTGATGGAGCCCAACGGGCAGGCGGGGCCCATGCACGGGTCAGAGACCCCTCCCCAAATTCCCGGGGACCCCAAAAAACCGGGAATGACCCCCCCCCAAAAAATTTGGGATAATCCTTTAAAATTTGGGATCCCGCAGGGTTTGGGGTTTGGGGTTTGGGGGGGTTTTGGGGTTTTTAG